AACCCATTTTAACACTAAGACGACATTAGTTGCATTGAACTGATCTTTTTAATAAGTTGTACAATTTAGTGAGAAACATGGGCTTGTGCTTCACTGAGGAACCTTTGTTATGCTCAGTGACAGGAAGGCCACTAACTGTTAATATAAAACCCACACTGCTCAAACTTCGTTACTTTTCCTAAAATTGGTATATCTATTTATTTATTTATTTATTTTGGGGCGTGGGGAATGAAGAGAACAAAATATATGAGCATTTTATGAGCATGGGATTTTGACCCCATACGCATAATGCTGCGCTATACTTGCGGCCACACGCCGTTGCCAAGCAACGCTTATTGTTTAGGTGTCCTTTGATAAGCAGGCAGTCATATAATTAACTAGAACTAGCTAGATCTGATAGATTTGGACATAAACGCGAGTGAAGTATAACCGGACACGAGAGAGAGATCAGATCAGCTGCTGCTGACGGACAACACGCAACTCTTCCGGATCACAGCTCCGCCGCTGTGACGGACCGTTGAGTGGAGCAAAATTAAATACACTAAGAGTTAGACCAAACACACTTAGCTAGTTTATCTACTCTGGAACTAGCTAAACTAGTTATAAATATATGTATTCTTTACTGTCGGGTCACTTATTACAGGTTCAGCGAGCTGCACGACTCGAGACTGATGGTCTGTCAGGAGAGGGAGAGGAAAAGAGAGCACCCCGTTTATTTTTCCCATTTTATTATCCAGAATTATTCTAAACTTTTGAATAAAGTAGTTAATCTACTATTAGTAGTTTGTTTAAATGCATTACTTATGTTGTTTTTTTCATTAACATAAAATAAATCTCACGTACCCCCTGCAGTACTCCAACGTACCCCTATGGGTCCGCGTACCCCCATTTGAGAACCACTGCCCTAAGGGACCATTTTCTTATCACTCCTAACCAGGGAGATCAGAGTGCAGGGTAAGCTGCTCAAGATATCGACCCCCCCCTCAGTCCAAAGTCTCTATAGATCTCCAGATAAATGCCTCTGAGGGTGGTGTCATTATTAACCATTTAAACACCCTACTGTAGCCTACTAATAAACAAAGAAGAGGGACATTTTGCAATCTTAAAATATATGTTTTATTTGTTATTGAGCTTTAGAAGTAGTGCTGTTTTTATTAAGTGCAACACTGGTTATTATATTTCAGAACCAACCACTCTCCAATGAATGTGACCCAAAGTAGTGCTGCTAAAAAAGAGATGTTCTGTCTTCTGTGTCATTTGAACTGCAAATGTTTGCAAGTGTTTAAGTAATTTTTGTTCATTTTCATTATTTGGAATTTAATTGGATTGCAACCATTAACAGTTTCCGGAGATTTTATCTGGGCAATTATCATAAATGTAAAATATAAAACGTGTAATTTGCTAGGACAGGAACAGGTTGGGTTTACCAGCTCAGTCGTAAGCCTTTTTATAGGATTGTGTAGGCGGAGAGAACCCTCGTAATCAAGCACAGACAGCTGGGGGTGGGAAAGAATGCTTGCAAAGGAACAATGATGGATGAGGAAAGAAATGTATTCAGATGAGAAGAAGCTGCATTACACCCGATCTGTCGATACTGGTGTAAGTGTAATGTGAGGCAGGGGGATAGAGAGAAAAACAAGCCACCCACACTCACAGACTCCAATCACATCACCTTGATCATTAGGGAAGCAAATCTAGACGTCCTTTTTATACTATCCTTCATTTTTTTCATGCTGTTAACAGGGTTTCCAACTTTCCATTATTCGTTACTCACTGGGAACATCTGTAATCTTTTGATCAAGTTCTCTGCAAAAGGTCCTTGTACATTACATTACCGCTTGTGTAAGAAATATAAATAGAAGACTGGCCTATTTTTCCGTTTATAGAGCAGATCTCGTGGCACCACCTATGCGCTGCTCTCACACCTGGTGTTGCAAGTTTCATTGATTCAAGTGGAAGATGTTGCAGAGGCAGCTCCACAAACAGGGAATATCAGCCTTTAGATTTCATTATTTAATAACCATGCCTGTTAGATTTTTTTTTAAAACAACCCGATAATCAAGGTTAATAATTGATCAGAATATATTCCATTTGCACATTTGTCTGGGACAAACTTCCAGGACATGTGATTGTGAACTGACACACATACATTACATTACATGTCACTTGTTAGACGCTTTTATCCAAAGCGACTTACATACTCAATACTGTGGGCAATCCCCACAGGAGTCATTTGGGGTGAAGTGTCTTGCCCAGGGACACAACGACACATTGACACATTGACTGTAGTGGGGTTTGAACCTGTGACCCCCTGATTCTAACACCAACGCACAACCCATTGCACCACATGCCTCCCACACACATTTTGTAAAACTGAAACTCTGACTGTTGGCTAAAGTCCATGTTCTCTTGGATGTGAACCCTTTCCATATATATATAATTTCTTTATAATACATAAAATACTAATACAAAAAAGTAATGACATTCAAATTAGCATAAAGAAGCAATTGTAGCATCACTAGAAATATATATTGGGTATTAAATCACCACAATTTTAATCTGGGGAGAGTATTGCTTTAATTTATATATGACCTGTCTTCATTTAAAGATTTAACAAATAAATTACTTTGATTGCATTCTTTGTGTCATAGGGTTACAAAAGTTCCTTTTTTTTTTAGGACACAAACTTTGTTTCAAACTTTGCATAAAATAAACCAATGAACCAGCTGCCAAAGAGTCTGTGAACAATGTGGTTGTTAGATGATTCAAAGTAAGCAAAGCAAACACAAATGGGTCATCTATTCATGTCATGAAATGGCTTACGAAGGCAAGAGAACAGTCCCAAAGATTTCCTTTGCTGACCGTGCCCAGAATCCACAAGAGATCATGTCAAAAAAACCACTGATGTGATTATACGGAAACACCTTCCTCCTTGTCCACCAGAGGACACTATTGTCCTGTCTGCTTCAGTCTGCCCACCATGCACTGCTCAGGGCGTTTTCCCAGGCCAGGGTGCTTGTACATTGTAAACCTGCTCCCATCCTGGCACACTCCTGTTTGCTGCCTCTCTGGATGCTCAGGATGCTGCCCTGTCTTACACCATTATCACACTGCGGGGTGGCTATTGTTTCGGAGATAGAGCAGCGGTCCACATGTCAAAGTGTCCTTGGGCAAAATACTGAACCACAAATTGCTCCTGATGGCATAGCCAATTGTGTGTGTGTGTGTGTGTGTGTGTGTGTGTGTGTGTGTGTTTCCTAATGAGCAGGTAGAACCTTGTTTGGCCCCAGCCTCTGCCACCAATGTTTTTGTGTATGGTTGAATACTGGTCGTTGCAAATACTTGAAAAAGCCACTAATGGCGGCTGTGGCTCAGTGGATAGTGTGCTGGACTTCAAATCAGGGGGTAGCGAGTTCAAGTCCCACTGCATGTCATGGTGTCCCTGGGCAAGACACTTCACCACAAATTGCTCCTGTGGGGATTGTCCACAGTACTGAAGTCGCTTTGGATAAAAGCGTCTAACAAGTGACATGTAAAGCAAGGAATGATGCTGGTGGGGCTAAGAGTGCATTTTGCACGATTGTTTTATTGGAAAATGGTTGATATTTACACTGTATTAGTGTTTGTTTGCATCAATGAGTTATTTTGTGATTTGGAATAGTGACTGGCCTACAAAGGGTTTTGTATTGTGACAGCCAGTATGGGTTTCAGTAAGAGGGTTAGAGGTACAAGGTTGGAACAATAAAGTATGTCTTCTGCCCTCTCTGTTGTTGCATTTCGCCTTGATCTGCAGAGTATATTTCTTGCTAAGATAGAACAGCTTGATGCTTTCTCCACCAGCTGACTGGATCCTCACAAGAGCCCAATGACTGCTGTATTTCTTGACCTTATCCTCAGTCTGATCCTGCAGCGATACAGGAGAGCCCTGCCTTTTGGGCAGAGGACATGTCTTTAAATAAATCTGATAGAGCCTAGGCACCTGCTGAGTCCATATTTCTTCTCTTGCTGCAGGGATTTGTAAAAATGACTTCTTTATCTTATTTGTTTTGTTCTGTTCTTTTCTAAATGAAATAAAATGAAAATGGAATTATTATAGTACAGTTTACATATGCCACATTGTGGTATATCTAGTGGTGTATAGGCCTACATATAAATCATTTTCATTGTGCAGAATTAGATAAAGGATCTACAGACGACAAAGCATTTGCAAAAATCTAATCTGTTTCAAAGCAGTCATCCTTGTCTGAGAAAGCTCATAAAACTGCTACTTTCACCCAACGACAGAAAAGGTTAGCAACTAGCTGGTGAACTCAGTCAAGCATTTGGCATCTATGTCTCCCTTAGGATTTAGTGAAGGCCAAAATAGGACTTAAACCAGAGAAAAAGTGGGACTTACATTTGCCAAGTGGTGGCTGAAACACAAATGCTTTGTATTCCCGGGTTGTGCAAAGCAACTGTTTGCTTCATTGAATTATGGTGAAAACGTGTCAAAGTTGTGTTCAAAGCTAGCTTGGTAAGGCTGCCCCCATTCAGCCAAGGAGTAAAGCCACACAGGGGATAGAAGACAAGAAAAGGATGGGCATATAAAGATTTTACATTTGTATTTTTTTAAGCAATTAATCAAGGCAATATCCTCTTGCTTGCAGTTTTTGTGACTGATGTCAAAAGATAATTAATATTCGAACATTTCACAGAAACAGCCGCAGCTGCAAACACTTCAATGAATTGCTATAAAATGAAAATGTTAGAGATTTAGAATAATTAATCATTTCTGATGATACAACAAAGTATTAATCAGGGAGCTTAATGTCATCTTATGATCAAATCTGTGAACATTCCAAATGGAACTTAGAACAGAACCGTGTTTGGAACATTCCATGAAATGGCTTTGTGGCATTGTAGAATGTTCTGAACATGCAGACAGGCTCACTTCAGGTCACTCAGATCACTCAGATCATTAACAGTATAGTCGCAGCGAGTACCCTCAGAGAGACTTCAAGATGAATATCCAGAGTTTGTGTCCCTATGGCCTGAAGAGTTTGATGGAGTGTGCTTCCAGAGCCACACTCCTCTCACAGCCTGCCGACATCCCCAACTTTTTACTGCAATATATGTCAGAGCAGATCACTTTCAGAAAATCTCAACCTGAAGATGATCCGAAGGTTGTTTCCTTCAATTACCAAAAGATATTTGGTAAGCTACTGTTCGAATATATCAAATATAATATTTAAAGGGATGATTTGTGATGTCTCTAGCTTATTTGATCATGTCCTTTTGCCAAGAATCAGTGAATGTTTTACTAGTTCAAGGTTTCTTAGATTACCAACAGACAATCCACCATTTTTTTCAAATAGCAATCAGCATTGAATTCATGATAACATGATTTATATTATGTATTAGCTGTTTTGTAAAATATATGTTGTCCAATTTTGAATCTGGTATGAAAATATATTTTGTTTACACGTTATAGTGAACATTAAACTTTACCTAGGAGTTTTATGTAGAACATATCTTACCAGGTCCTCAACAAATACCTCTAATGAATATATAGGAACATCTTATAATCAAGTAACTACTAAAGAAAATGAAGTGTCATTTTATGTTTTTCTAATTTCCTTACAGAGAAGAATATGCTGAGAAAGACGGAGACACCAATTGCCACCATCGAAACATCCGTTCAGACCCCAGGAACACGCCAGCTCTTACCCACACCAATCCCCCAAAAACCAACTCCTGCAGATAAAGCTTCAACATCCATGGTCCCCAGCCAGCCCTCCAAAACACCAGCTATCCCAGTACCAGTTGTTAAATGCAAGCTTGTTCCTCCACCAATCCCTGAAGAGAAAGCAGATGAAGCTTCAACATCCAGGGCCATCAGCCAGCCCTCCAAAACACCAGCTATCCCAGTACCAGTTGTTAAACGCAGGCTTGTTCCTCCACCAATCCCTGACGAGAAAGCAGATAATGCTTCAACATCCAGGGCCATCAGCCAGCCCTCCAAAACACCAGCTATCCCAGTACCAGTTGTTAAACGCAGGCTTGTTCCTCCACCAATCCCTGAAGAGAAAGCAGATAATGCTTCAACATCCAAGGCCATCAGCCAGCCCTCCAAAACACCAGCTATCCCAGTACCAGTTGTTAAACGCAGGCTTGTTCCTCCACCAATCCCTAACGAGAAAGCAGATAATGCTTCAACATCCAGGGCCATCAGCCAGCCCTCCAAAACACCAGCTATCCCAGTACCAGTTGTTAAACGCAGGCTTGTTCCTCCACCAATCCCTAACGAGAAAGCAGATAATGCTTCAACATCCAGGGCCATCAGCCAGCCCTCCAAAACACCAGCTATCCCAGTACCAGTTGTTAAACGCAGGCTTGTTCCTCCACCAATCCCTAACGAGAAAGCAGATAATGCTTCAACATCCAAGGCCATCAGCCAGCCCTCCAAAACACCAGCTATCCCAGTACCAGTTGTTAAACGCAGGCTTGTTCCTCCACCAATCCCTGACGAGAAAACCAGAGGTGTCCGGACATCAGGTAGGGATATGTGTGAATCAGTGGTCGCGTTAACCGAATATTTTCCGTCTATGACGGATTTCTTTTAACAATGACGGAAAAATCTGAAAGCAGTCTGTCATTTTGACAGATTAGAACAAACTCGGAACAGTGCCAAAGTTTACCCGCAGCGAGGCTCCGGTGTTATGCCGTGTTATGCATGCCCGTCAAAAAGGAAATTATATAGTTTCCAAACCGTACTTTGCCGTACAAATCATTGAAATGTCTGGGAATTTTTGCACGCTCCCGCGAGGTGCATGCATTTCTCGGTGGGCATGCATAACACGGCATAACACGGCATAACACCGGCGCTAATAGTTCACGAGCGTGCTCTCTCTGACACGTTAGTGACGAGTTGTGTACAGACCCGACAGGTAATAATGGATTATGACGTAAATGTTGCGATCCTGTCCGTCAAAATGACGAGCAACGAAAAAGTCTAACGCCACCTCTGGTGTGAATATGGATACAAACTCAAAGGATATTTTTTTGGATCATGATTAAAGCTAACATTGGAACATCAAAACATGTAATATAGGTGCACTGAGTTGTATCACTACTTTTCAAAATGATTAAATGTTACTAATATTATGTTTTTGGTAATTTGCCTTTACAGAAAAAGAAATCCTGGGTAAGGCAGAGACACAAAATGCCAAAATCAAAACATCAGTTCCACCTGCAGATAAAGCTTCAGCATCCAGGGCCATCAGCCAGCCCTCCAAAACACCACGTATCCCAGTACAAGTTGTTAGGCGCAGGCTTGTTCCTCCACCAATCCCTGAAGAGAAAAGAGGTGTCCGGATATCAGGTAAGGATATGTGTGAATATGGATACAAAGGATTTGTATCATGATTAAAGCTCACATTGGAACATCAACAAATGTCATATAGGTGCAATGTACCACTACTTTAAAAAAATGATGAAATGTTACTAATATTATGTTTTTGGTAATTTGCCTTTACAGAAACAAAAATCCTGAGGAAGACGGAGACACAAACTCACAATATCAAAACGGTAAAACCAAAACAAAAAGGAAGCGGAATACTGAGACCAGAAAGCACCAAAGAATCAAAGGAAGCAGGGACAGAAAGCAACAAGCCGAAAGCTAAGGTCCAGGAGAAGTCAAGTCAGCCTAACCAATTGCCAGACATGAGCAGAGGAGATAGGGTTTTGTGGATGGATAGGGAAAGGGTTAAACCAATCCTCAACAGAGAGGTTGGAGGTGTACAGAAAAAAGCGTTCTGTAGACCAGCTTTAGTAGTAGAGGGCAAATGCTTCCCTAACTTGCATGGTTTGTCGACTCCAATCATTATCATAAAATACAGGCGTATACATGTTAGAGCCTCACCTTATAGCCAAAGTAGTCCCTCGCTCAATTCCTATGGATTATAATGAGGACCCCTAAAACGCCCCACTAAACTATCTGAAACTTGAGGGGCCAAGACAGACTAGAAAATGAGCAGATAGTATTTAAAATATTTGTAACAATTTGACACTACACACATTTAGAACTTAAAATACCGGTAACCACTACCCTCAAAACTAACGATCAACTAATAACCCACTTTATCATGTGCGTTTTGTATGACTTCATCAAAATAGGAAAAATACACTCTAAGCAATTAATAAGAATTGTTTTAAAATTGCAATCGACTAGAGCAACATCCAAATCAAGGTATTGGTTCAATAAGAAAAATAACAAAGGAAATTGTGTCAAATGACCATTTTGAATTATGTACTGTAACGGGTTTCTGAGATTTATTTTCCCGCAAATGATAAATTAAGGCGAGCAAACTTGTTTGCAACAGTTGCTCGCAAAAAAATCTCTCTTTAATCATTTCAATATTGTTAATGTAAATCGTTATCTCCTTCAAAACCATGAATAATATCAGGAAATAATTATACATGTATCAAAATCGCATAATAGACAAATGCAATATCCAAATCGAGGTGTAGGGTCAATAAGAAAAATAACTAAGGAAAGTGTGTCAAATGACCATTTTGAATTAAGTACTGTAACGGGTTTCTGAGATTTATTCGCCTGCAAATGATAAAATATTACGCCGAGCAAACAGTTGCTCGCAAAAAATCTCACTTTGATCATTTAAATATTTTAATGACAATTATGATCTCCTTCAAAACCATGAACATTCAATTGCACATATCACTGAAAAATAATTGCAACCAGATCTTTTTTTACTGAATAGCCCTACTCAGTCAGTCAGTCAGTTTAAAAAATATGCAATTGACTAGGAAAAGTAAAGCACTCGTACTTTGTTCTAAAATAAGCACACAACCATGGTACTAAATAAGAAGTAGCATCAGTAAACATAAGGTGAGGCAAGTTTATAGCACGTTTATAACACAAGGCAATTCGAAGTGCTTGAGTAAACGTATAAAGGTTTTGAAATGGCAGTTAGTAGTAAACAATAATAAGCTGTGTTGTTGCAGTCTGAAGCGAAGTGGCACTCTAGTAAAATGCCAAAGGGACTGTTTTTCAAAGGAAATCGCGAACTCTTGTATTGTTGTGTAAATGCCCAATAATACAAGATGCATTGTTTTGGGTTGATTTTAATAATAAATGTGAAAAATAATTTAACTGTAATTTTGTGTGTTTCAGTGTCTGCTTTCTCCTTTTTGAAACGGTATTGAATGCAAATGTATGGATTTATTGCAGTATAGATTTCTTTACATTCACCTGCTGACACTATATTTCACTTCCTTAAAGGCAGGGATAATGACACGGAGAACTTAACAACATACTACAGCATGACCTGTAATGGGTTATCAAGAGATTCATTATTTATCTTCTACATGTTTTTTCTCCTGGCTATGTAATGTAATGCCCTGGAAATAGGGTAAATATTGGTAGAGGAGATATTAATACTCTCTCGCTAATCTCGCCTCCCATCAGAGCTCCGAGGCGTTACCAACGATCAGCACATGATTAACCAACACAAACAAGGATTTGCATCACCTATTTGCATAACTGGCTACGTGGCTTTACACTCACCAGCGTTCTAGCGTATGTGTATACTGTCACAACACTTCAATTATAAGTCCTGTTTGCTGTAATAACAGATCTGTGTTAAGAATGAATTAGTCCTAAATTGGATTAGATACATTTTTCCTATTTGTCGGATTTTCTTTCTTTTTCACAGCAATATGTAAACAAGGCATTGCACAATAATTAAAAGGAAAAAATGACAAAAATACACAGTAAATATATACATATCAACTGTAGAAAATAAACATTATATATAAATTGAGCTAGTGGAGCTGCAGCCCCCTCAGCATCCCCCCCCTTCCGGCGTCCATTCGCGATGTCTCGCTGTCTCGCAGACCCCACGCAGCAAGCAGAAAATGAACCCAGCTCACACTGTCCGCTCCTCGCAGCAGCGAGCCACGCAACGTCCCGCCAACACGGCACCCAGACCCCACGCAGCATTCTCATCTGTTTGTCATTACTGGTGTCATTTTCTGGTTGCTAACGCCATGGTAACACATAATCACTGATGTTCTGCTGTAACAGTGGTAGACCATAGTGGTAGACTCATCAGAACAGAGTGGGCGAGCTGACCAATCAGAGCACACTGGGCTCACAGGGAGGGGGGGGGGGGCAGGAGCTCCAAGAAGCCGTTTGGGACAGAGAGTGAATACACATACTATACAGAGGTGCTGTATGAGAAACCAATGTGAGTTTGGAAAATTGCACAATATAAATCTATTCTAGTAGACCTCAACAATGGAATTATGATCAGTAGAAATGGCCATGACATGGGACCTTTAAAGTCAGTTTAGACGACGACGGGCCAACCTACAACTAACCAAATGTAAACATAGGATACTAATTACATTAAAGGGGCCCTATTATGCTTTTATTCCTCCATTGTGTTATAGGTGTGCATGCAAATGGTCTGTGTTGGCTTACATCCCAAAGTTCCCTCCTGAGGGAGTTTCTCTCCCACACACATTTTCATAACCAATGTATTGATCTTTCAACTGTCTTCGTTGGCTTTACTATCCCCCCCTTAAACTACACAATCCACCTTCAAAGGTCACTGCACTTGAAACATTATAACTTGGCTTTTCCAACATGGTTTCTGACCTTGTCTGTTTTCAGTTAATATCGATCCTTTTGTTTAGATCTTCTGAATCACATAGGACTATACTGTATTTACAAAAGTGTATTCCTGTTTGGATTCAGGTTTGCTGCATGCACAAGCATAATGTGCATCGTTTGACTTCTTAATTTAGGCCTTAAAGCAACAAGAGGTCTCTATTAAAAGGCTCACTTCAGCATTGTCATAAGTTGTTGGGATAGAAATAAATGAGTAGCCCTAGGTTAATTGTGTTGGTTTTCTGTGTGTGTGTGTGTGTGTGTGTGTGTGTGTGTGTGTGTGTGTGTGTGTGTGTGTGTGTCTTGTCGTTTCCACACTGCATCTCTTTGTTGTGAACCATCTGTTTCTGTCATCTTAGTCAATTCTAGGGGGAAGTTAACCTTTTCTCTGTTGACATACAAAACATGCGCTTCACACATATGATTAAGCATTGAACATGAGTTACTGTAGGTGTTACTCATTCTGACATGAATGTCAAGTGCACACACACACACACACACACACACACACACACACACACACACACACACACACACACACACACACACACACACACACACACACACACACACACACACACACACACACACACAATCTCTCTCTTTGCTGTGCACCTACTATACTGCAGGCTACATACAGTCGTGACAGTACCAATGTTAATCTTTTTCTGCAACGTCCCAATGGAGATCATTAGGGTCATGAAAAAAATAATTAGGGTTTCATCTAATCTTATCAGATCTGATCTAACATAATGTAATATGACATAATATAATCCCACTCACACACAGAAGAGCAGTGACATAGACTTGGCATTCTAATTTCTCTGCAAATGCAATAGAAGATTCATTTAGACGGGACGTTAGTGGATTTCAGCACATGTGAAAACACCCTGCAGTGTATGATTTGGAAACTTTTCCCGTAAAGAGAAATCAGACTCTAATCTCTTTTCGGATTCATTCATCCTTCTTTGTATCCCTATCCTGACAGAATCTTAATGCAACTAGGATTTAAATGTCAAAGTTAGATTAGGTATAGGTGTGTGTTTTTTTTTTTTTTTAAAGGAAGATTTCAGTCTTTCTTTTAGCCTTTTTAGCAAAGCTAGAGCTGGCAAATGTGTCTAGTATGTTTCCAGGCAAGCCGCCTACATGTAATTGATGTTATGTGTTGTAGGATGGAGAATGTGTCATCCAATAACAGACTCCCTCCTGTCATTTGGCTCTGGTTAAAATATCATTTGGAATTGTGAGTGTAATATGAATCTCAGCAAAACAGCGTGATCCCTTACAAACACCTACTGTTACTGAAATAAGGCATCTTAATGAGGAACATGTTTTAAAACCTTAGAAAACAGTATTTCAGCGACTTCTGTGTGAATTTAATTTTTTAAAGAACTATGTATGTGTTTGCACCAGATGCCTTCTTCTTCTGTCCTTCAAATTACAAGGGCACTTCTAAGATAATGACCCACCCTCCGTTTGGTTTATTCCATAGTCATTTCTCATTTAGTAGATTAATACACTTGCTTACTTGTATCCTGACTAGGGTTGCAAAATTCCGGGAAATTTCAAAGATGGAAACTTTCCATGGGAATTAACGGGAATTTATGGGAATAAACTGGGAATTTTCTAAATTGAAGGTTGGCTCTTCATAGGGAACTTAAATATAGTTAGGGAAAGTATATTTTAGCATAATCTTGACTAAAACAAAAAGATGCCTTTCAAGTACACTTGAATATCCATGCCATAACACACTGCTTACTGCATGGCTATTGAGACCACACCCCCTAGAGGCACTGTGCATTCCTCCATCACATGCACAGATGAGTAATATTTAACTCAACATTCCTGTTTTCGTTCTTCAATGAAACAAATAATTGTTAAAACTTGTTCTGTTCTACTTAAAAAAAAATGTCAACAAATCTGTTGAAATGTCATGTTTTTTGTTTAATTTTGCATCGAATATTTACAAAATTCCCCAGCTTAACTTCCCATGGAAACTTTCCGCCCCTTTGCAACCCTAATCCTGAGTGTATATCCCACTGTTGGTTTTGGTTGTTTAGCATCATGGCAAAAGAAAATGCCTTATTGCATGTATCGATGTTCTCTCGAGACAGCTCATTGCTAATGCATGCCTTTAACTTGATTAAAGTAATTCATTAAGAGCTCAGCTCAATCTGGTAAATAAAACCCTCTACTGTATTACTGCAGACGGCAAGGCAAGGCAAGGCAAGGCAAGGCAAGGCAAGGCAAGGCAAGGCAAGGCAAGGCAAGGCAAGGCAAGGCAAGGCAAGGCAAGGCAAGGCAAGGCAAGGCAAGGCAAGGCAAGGCAAGGCAAGGCAAGGCAAGGCAAGGCAAGGCAAGGCAAGGCAAGGCAAGGCAAGGCAAGGCAAGGCAAGGCAAGAAAAAAAAAAGTACATGAATAAAAGTTACAGTGCAGTTTAAGATATGAATAGTTCAATTAAAAGCAGCGACAAAAAGAAAAGTCTTCAGTCTGGATTTAAAAGTAGTCAGAGTTGCAGCGGACCTGCAGGTTTCTGGGAGTTTGTTCCAGATATTTGGAGCATAATAACTGAACGCTGCTTTACCATGTTTAGTTCTGACTCTGGGGACAGAAAGCTGACCAGTCCCTGAAGACCTGAGAGATCTGGAGGTTCATAATTTAGCAGGAGGTCAGAAATGTATTTTGGGCCTAAACCATTCAGTGCTTTATAAACCAGCAGCAGTATTTTGAAATCTATTCTTTGACACACAGGAAGCCAGTGTAAAGACTTCAGAACAGGAGTGATGTGATCCACTTTCTTAGTGTTAGTGAGGACTCGAGCAGCGGCGTTCTGAATCAGCTGCAGCTTTCTAATAGATTTTTTAGTGAGACCTGTGAAGACACCATTGCAGTAGTCGAGTCTACTGAAGATAAAAGCATGGACAAGTACATTTGGGCTGTTTTTGCTTCTATAAAAAGTCATACTACACTTCTGACTACATTCAAAAAACATTTATCAGAGTATTTTACTAAGTTTGTCTATTTGTGTTTTGTAATTCTCTGTGCCTTAAGGAGAAATCTACATACACAATGTTCTTAATTTAAGTAATCAACGGGGGAAGATTAGTTGCAAAATCTATTTGTAATTTTGTTTGCTGTATTCACCTGTCTTATACTTTTAAAATGTTGAATGAGAAGGTAATTTCTCTAAGCGGTGGTAATAGTCATTTACTGTTTCCTCCCGGTTCTGCCTGCATGCCCAGATTCTTGACATGTCGACTTTGGCGGGGAACTTTGTAGTTATTGCGGCCTCTGGTCCAGCCGCCTCCTCAGCAGGCAGGTGAACAGCGAGGGAAGGTGGGAAAGGAAATCCACAGTCGAGGAGAGGATCCCCCACGCCT